AATTTTAATTTTAATTTTAATTTTAATTTTAATTTTAATTTTAATTTTTATTTTTATCAATTTATATCAATAAATTTAATTTCAACATTCAATTACTAGAATGTTCATATAGAATTTCCAAGCAGTTTTCTAGATGGCTTCAGAAAGCACACATTCGCTCTCTTATACTTCAGCTCTGAACAAGCTACCACTTTTGTTGCATTAGTCATCATTACTGACAACGTAGGCGCATCTACATGTCTTCATTTCAAATTAGTAAAGCACACATCAATGCAACATTATAAACTTATGAATGTAGTATAGTATAAAGAAAACCCGTTGGCGCTTTTAGCACTGCTGCGCAGCAACAAAAGACTTAAGCGACAAACTTGCCGTTGGTTGCTGCAAAATAATATGCAAATCTTTACAGTAGAAAGGGGAAGAGAAAGAAATACACGTAAAATTTGATACATTTCTATAAAGAAGAACCGCTATGCGCGCCAGCTGCTGCGGCGGCTCGTATATCATGCACACATTAGTTGGCTTGGCTACACCAATAAGGAAGCCCATTAGACTTAAGCAACAAACCTGTTCGACTGGATGTGTTAATTTATTGCATTTGAATGTTGTGGAATTGGTGGAAATGTGTGCTAATGAGTAGCTCAGAGGTTTTAGCTCTATTTTTACTAGCAAATATACATAATGAGAGATTTTTAATTCAATGAAAGCATATCTGCACAGAATGAGGCTGAGGTAAGCCAATGGTATTATGTATATGTCGTTCAATTTAGAATTATTTAAGTGTTTATACCATGGTTTTTATATGAATATTGAAAAAGGCTTAATGAGTGATACTTTAAACCTAAAAAGTTTGCCAAAATTCTATATTCAAAGTCGTCAATATTCTTTTTTTTAATAATTTCTAGAATTAGATATGAAATCACATTTGGTGTGAAGAAAACAGAAAGATATATCTTTTAAACGTAAGAAGCTGTTTTCTATGCTCCTTCAGTCAATGTTTTTTTTCATATATTTGAATTTTAGAACTAAAATGAAATTTACGACAAAAATCAAATCACGGTAAGTCAAAAAATTTTCTTTGCAACAACTACAATTGTTTTCACACACAAGTTGAATTTTAGAACAAAATCAGCAACAAATCAGTGAAGTCAAAATCACACAATGAATTCAACAGAAATTTCAGCAATTTTTCCTTGTCAAATACTGACACCGCCTAAGAGGTTTTTTTAAGTAAAACCAATTCTCTAAAGTAAAATTTTCCCAAAAAAATTATTTTTGGTTCATATTGCGACTACAATTCACCAAAATGAAACCAAAATCACAAAAAAATTTCGTTGACCATTTTTCCAAGTCAAAAATTTACTTTAGCTTAATGAAGTCATTTCAACGCCTACTTTGTTCCATAACAGTATGATCGGCCGGTAATTTGAAATTTCAACCACTTATTCTACACTTTGCACAAATTTCATACCTAAATATTTATTTTTCCTGTCCAAACACACACAGACATACACACAGAGGATGCGCGCTTCCTTTCGACAAACGTCGCACAAGCGTCAAGTTGAGAACCCCTCAGCACTGACCATAAATTTCACATACGTATGGACATTTTTCATTTATGTGGCAGTTAGCCGGTGTACGTGCCACACATTTACAATTCATGTGTCGCGCTGAAATAGTGAAATTTGCAGTCAATCGACGCGTGTAAATATTTATGGCAGGCATAATGATTTTTTATACAAACAATTTTAATGAAGCAACAAATTGCGCGTGCAACCCCCACAATTGCAGGCAACAAGCAACGAGCAACCGAAATACAAACACACACACAAGCGCACGTACATGCATAATTGATGTATGCAGCATGTAGCATGCCGCATTGGCTTAGCGCAGTAACGCATTTTGGTGAGTCAGAGGCGCAGTGGAGGCAACGGAACACAATGTTGCTGGCGATACTTGGTGTACTGGGTGAAAATTAACAAGGCGTAATTAAAAATGTGCAACGCATGCATGACAATGAGGAAGCGCTGCAAAAAACGGAGAAATCGAGAAAAAATATTAACCCACTGCAGAAATTGAGTTTTCTCCTTATAAAATCATGCACATACACACATACACACACACAAGCATAAATTATGTAAAGTGAAATAGCAACTACCGCATGCCATGCGTAGAGCGCACGCTGATTGCTGCTGCTGCGTATGCATATATGTGTGTGTGTGTGTGTCTACCTGCGTTTGTGTTTATGCCGAAAATGTTGAGCTCACGCAATTTTCCCTACTTAACACACCGGCCATGCGTTCATGCTGGGCGTTTAATTAGCACAAGCATCGGCGATGGTTGCTTCGCTTCTCTGCTCATTTAGCTCATCATACTTTGGCGTTGCTGTAATGAAGATGTTTATCGGGCCGCGTAATTTAACATAAACCAACAGACAAAGTAAATCTTAATGTTTTGCTTAAGTAAATACAATTTATGCGTTGCCTATTTGCGGGTATTTATAGGCACCCTTCGAGAGAAGTGCAGCGCAGTGTTGGCTTGAGGCATGGTCGGGTGTCGGGTGTCGGGTGTGGTTCGCACGCATGCTGGAATGTTGACGGTCTCAGCTGCTCAATGCTGCCGATAGCTGTGAATATTCGCTTTCATATGTGATATTTAGGACTTTTAGTGGCAAAAGTGTTGCAGCAAATGCTTGTACAATGTAGTATATAAATATATTTTTTATAATAATAGTACAAAAATATTAGTAATTGCTCTAGTATACGATAAACACAGCAAATTGTTATCGGATTATGTTATAATATTTAGAAGTGTGATTTGTGTTTGATAGCGGTGATGCAAACGGGAATCGAGAGATGTTGTTGATGGCAAAAATATTTTTTTAGCGATCTAGGTTAGAGTTCCTGCTATAATGTATATATTTGAAAACAGAAAAAAATTAAAGTATGTTGAAGTCCATTGATAACCAAAGATAAAATAACAAAAATGCAAAGAAAAATAATTTACGGGCGTTCTGAGCTCGTGAAGAGGCAGGGAAGGCGCGTGGATTAAATTTTTAAGGGTTAAAACATTGTATCTCGATTTCCATTAAATCTACGCCTCTTATAGAAAAAAGTTATGTTGCAAAGTTGTAGCTACTGAAAAGACCTACAACTTTTGTAGCAACACCTTTTTCACATAACCTCAGAATTTAAGAGAAGAATACAAAAATCCCAGTTTTTGGGTTCTGTATCTTGATCTTGTACAAAATCAAAATTTCTTTGA